CGGGCAATCCTTCCGCCTCAGCCTTCCAAGTAGCTGGAACTACAGGTGCACGCTACCACGCCTCGGCTAATTTTTTTTTGATTTATTGTGGAGATGAGGTCTTGCTGAGTTGCTCCGGCGGGTCTCGAACCTGTGGGCTCAGGCAATCCACTCACCTCAGCCTCCCAAGGCCTGGGATTACAGCCTGAGCCACCAAGCCTGGCTGGTAATTTATTCTTAAGTGGAAGTTTCTAGAGCCCCACCTTTTGCTCTTCTGCAAAGTCCCAGCTATACAATGAAAATCAGGAGGAAAAATTATATTCAAAGCCTGATGCTGTAATAAGTTTTGTTGAAATATGTGAATAGGGAGATTATTGGTGACATGATTGTATTTATTAATAGTATACTCTCACTTTTTGAAGCTATGAGTTTTCCCATCTGAAACCTTCTACATTTTGCCAATAATTATAGTACAAAGATTTCTTTTTACTTTCTTTTAAAAATCAGCTTGAAATGTTGAAGTAACCAGTACTGCAGAACGATGATTTCGGCTGTCTGTGAAAGTTATGCAGGTGTGTATATTTTCTCCTTAGGCAAATCAAGAGCTTGAGGCATTAGAAGAAGAAATGTTGCAGATGCAAGAATCCACTCATCTTTTTGAAGTGGCTCTTCCAGAGGACAAACAAATGAAGCAATGTCGCAAAGAAATAAAACTGCTCAAGGGACTCTGGGATGTCATTATTTATGTTCGAGTAAGATGTGCTTTTTGAAAGCTTGCTTTTTAATTTAGCCATTTCTTTTATATAAATTTGCCATTTTTAGGATCTATATTACTCGATTTGGGTTTTAAATGTCTTGAAATATATGGACATTAGATTTGTCACCTCTAGGCCTGAATGAAAATTTGCATATCTTTGTTAGTGAAATATCCTTTCCTGAATGTCAATTTTTAATTTTTTTTTTTTTAGTTCAGGATGAAACCTTGTATAATAAGTTGACAGCCTCAAATCTTTTTGGGGCATTGCATAGGATATAAGTAAAAATAAACAAGTAAATTACATATATATGGTCACTTGTACATATCACCTCATGTTTACACCCATGCTTACACTTACATGTGCATATATAAACAGACCCTTACTAAAAAATAAAGTTAATTTGTATGCGGTTAATTCAGTTAAACACTTAAATAGAAAAATAAGTCCTAAGGGACTAGGTGCATTGCAGCATGCATTATACATCATTTTTAAGTTAGACAAAAGCCATTTAGAAATATATTGACAAGATATATGGTCAAGAAATGGTTAATGAGAGTTTGTTTATAATGGATGGAGATTATCTTGTGAGAGCTGATTTTATGTTACATGTAGAGTTGTAAGTCTGTTATTTAATAGTAATGTACTTGTCAATTTATTTAAAGTACACAGGATTAAGTGATAATGATGGTGTGTGTGGAATTTATCATTGCTACTAGAAATTAATATATCATGATGTTTTAGCCTTAAATTTGACATGTTCTGACAACTTTTTTGTTTTGGTGATTGGGAAGTTTTGACAAGTGCAGTTAATATTTTAAAAATTAACTTTCCACTGGATGATAGAGTCACTGTGTATCATCAGTTTATGTATTTTGCTGCCGAGACTTGCTTTCACCAAATGTTGTTGACACTTTTATCTGCTTGTGCGTTTCCAGAGAAGCATTGATAATTGGACTAAAACCCAGTGGAGACAGATTAATGTGGAACAGATGGATGTGGAACTCAGAAGGTTTGCCAAGGCGAGTTCCATAACTGTCTATTACAACAATTTATCTTTCTCAGCACCACCTCCTCCCATCTTCTCTAACCTAGGACCTGGTGTGTTGGGCTGTGTCCTTATTTACTTCTAGCAGAATGATATCAGATGGCATTTTGTTCACTCTTAGCCAGTTGCACTTCTAATCAAGCCTGCCTTTCTGTGAATGAGTTGATAAAAGCATATTAGGGTTGATGAATTGATGAGAAGCAGCTCTAATCATGGACTCCCTATGGCTATCTAGAATGGAAAGGAAGATTATCAGGGCTAAAAGGTTAGGTTGATGAAAGCTTTTGATCTCTTTCCTTAGCAAACATAAGCACTTTGTATCTGAAAAGATATCTTTTGGTTCTAAAATTTAGGTCAACTAATAGGAGTATGCCACTTCTGGATTTCTACGGACTATTATAGTCTTTGTTTCCTATTGATTACTCCAGTATCTCAAGGGGGCTCAGTATACAAGGGCCAACTATTAGGTTCGCGAACCATCCTAGAAAAAGTACTACATACCTCACTGCTGAGTATCACTATAGTCACCTTCAAAGAACTTCCCTTGGGAAGCTGTGCACCGATGCCAGCACCTAGTCCACCTGTCAAAGCAATTTTGGAACCCTTTTTCTGGAATGGCCATCAGAGCTATCACTGGTGTTTGTTGAGATCTGACAATTAAGTTCACAAACTTGCCACTGTGTGCTTATATTGTTAGCACTGTACAAATAACTGTATTGGAATACCCTTCCTACTCACCTGACATGGCCCCCAGTAACTTTTTTCTTTACTGGAAGATAAAGGAAATATTGAAAGAAAGACGTTTGATGACATTCAGGACATCAAGGGTAATACAATGATAACTCTTGTGACCATTCCAGAAAAAGAGTTCCAGTGCTTTGATGGGTGGACTAGGCGCTGGCATCAGTGCATAGCTTCCCAGGGGGAGTCCTTACTTGGAAGGTAGCCATAGTGATATATATTCAGCAATGAGGTATTTAGCACTTTTTCTAGGATGAGTTTGCTAACTTAATTGTTGGCTCTCGCAAACAGAACTGAGCTTCTTTGCATTTAGTACTGTGATATCTTGCCCCCATGGCCTATGCCCTCTGAGGAGAGTAGAACTTCTTTGGATAAATGCATGGCAGTGAAAGGGAATTAAAAGTGACAGGGCCTTTTACTTCCTTCCCACCCCAGAACATCCTTAGCTCTAACTCAGTCCTGTGCTTAGCTCCTACTCACTCTCTCCAGAATTTTCTCCCTTTTTCTCCCAGTCCCACAGACCCTACCTAAAATGTCTTGGTTCTTTCAGATGTCATGGAGTTACTGGCCCTCTTTCTAGACTCACTTCTCACTTCTCTCCTTTAGCATTGGGTAATTTCACTTCAGAGTGATAACTGAACCCCCACTCTCAACTGAAGTTTCTTTATTTTTTTAAATGATTGGCATTGTTCTTTACTTTGTGATATGATCCAGTTGTTTTATATGGGTTTTCTAATTTACAATTGCTGATGTTATTCCATGGACCAAGAGGACAGCCAAGTCAAGGGCCCTATTTGACATCCTAAAACCGTGAAATATTTAAGTTCCAAGGAACAGACATTCCAAAACTACCATTTAAACGAGTAAGGTATTTGGAGGGAGGTCTTAGTCATCCAGATAACAGTCTGTTTCCATTTATTTATGTTTCTACAAGAAACATTCTTTATTTCACGTGTCCTGTGAACTCTGTTTCTTACCTACATTTAATATCCAATGGTTTCCTCATGGGACAGCCAGTTCGATCTTATGAATAAGAAACCAGTGGTTTCTTACACAAACTCACATAAACAAATGGTTATCGTTACAATTCTCTGGTTTTGGTCCTTAGCCTGGAAGTTTAAATGTGCCCACTCTCTTTCCTATTCCAGGGGTTGGGAAATGCATATTTATTCTTCCAAAAGAGGCACATTATATTATGTTTGTATATAAGGCACTGAAGATTTCCCCCCCCCACTTGTGTTTAGGACATCTGGTCACTAGACAAGGAAGTCCGTGTCTGGGATGCTTATGCAGGCCTGGAAGGCACAGTGAAGGACATGGCAACCTCCCTGAGAGCTGTCACAGAGTTGCAGAGCCCTGCCCTCAGGGATAGACATTGGCACCAGCTGATGGAGGCTGCGGGGGTCAGTATCTTGAGTATTTTTGTGACTGTGAAGCATCAGTTCTTGGTTGCATCATCTGGGATGGAGTGGGATTGTGAAGAGTGCTCTAGTCTAACGTGAGAGATCAAGCTCTCTGAGAGAGGACCCGTGGACTGGACACCTGAAGATCAAAGCTCTTGATCCGCTTTTGTCTCTTACTGTCTAGATCACTTCACCTCTCTCATTTGAATTGTTTTTTTAATTTTAATGTTTTATTTATTTATTAATTTATTTAGCCATACTCTCACTCTGTCACCTAGGCTGGAGTGCAGTGGCACCATCATGGCTCACTGCAGCCTCGACCTGCTAGGTGCAGGCAATCCTTCCACCTCAGCCTCCCAAGTAGCTGGAACCACAGGTGCATGCCACAACACCTGGCTAAGGTCTCGCCAAGTTTCCCAGCCTGGTCTTGAACCCTTGGGCTTAGGCAATCTTCTCACCTTCACCTCCCAAAGTGCTGGGATTACAGGCTTGAGCCACCACACCCGGCCAGAGTTTTGTTTTGTTTTAATTAATAAAACGAGAGGGATGTTATAGGCTCTTATGCATTAGAGGAATCTCATAAGGAATAAATGAGATCAGATGAAAATATCTTATAGAGCACCAGATGGCTTCAAAGAATTGTACTTATTGTGGAAAGGATCAGAAAGTGTAATAGTGAATTTGGGGTGGGGAGGAATCTGAAATTGTGATTTTTTTCTCCCACAATTTTTAAATAATGGTGTCCTTTTTTATAGTCTTCTGATTGTTTTGATTTTATTTCAATATTAAAAGATGTTTTCTCATGTGTCTATGCCATCGAGGTTCTTGTTTTTCTATTTCTATTAAAAAGCAAATAGATCAGTCTTGTACCTTATTTTTTAGGGAAGATCACCTTATGAGTTTAAAATATGTAAAAGGAAGTCCAGTATGTGTGTTTTCTCCTTAGGCAAGTCAAGAACTTGAGGGACATGCTGTGCAAAAAGGCTCTCAGGATGTAAAGGAAAGTTACGGAGTAGGGTAACAGGGGCAAAGGGCGTCGTGGACCAGTGGGTATAGCCTAGGCATTATGGTTCCAGTGTGAACACTTAGTAATTCTGACATCTTGGGCAGGTTACCTATTCTTTGTATCTCTGTTTATCCCTCTATAAATAAATATAGTGCTTCCCATGCAAGTTAATATAAAATATATGCCAAAATTCCAATTTATATATATATATATAATACAAATGCATATATACATACATACATAAAAAATACACACAAATATATGTGTACACATACCACATACATACAGTCTGCAATGACAGACTGCATGGGGGCCCTATAAGATTATAACACTGTGTTTTCATTGTACCTTTGCTATGTTTCGATACATAAATACTTGCCATTTTCTCACAACTGTTTACAGTATTCATGACAGTAACATGCTGTAGAGGTTTGTAACCTAGGAGCAATAGGCTAGACCATACAGCTGAGGTGTGTCGTAGGCAACACCATCTAGGATTGTGTAAATTCACTCTATGATGTCTGCACAATAACAAAATCGCCCAGCAGTTTGTTTTGTTTAATTAATAAAATGAGAGGGATGCTATATGCTCTATGCATTTGAGGAATCTCATAAGGAACAAGTGGGCTCAGATAAAAACATTTTATAAATGGTCCCTGAAGCTATTATTGTAATAATACTGTTTTTAATGGAGTATTTTAGACATCGAATATTTGGACTTGGTAATTGATTAATTTGTTCATACAGAAAATCTTTGAGTCTTAGAATATGTAGGAGAATATGTGCCCTGGTCCCTGACCCCTCCTCATATTTCTGCCAATAAGATTTTGTCTCAGCACCGTCTCTGCTTGCCTACATTATACCTTTCTGCAAGCTGGAAAGAGTCACCTTCTCTGGCAGACAATTTAGAAAAAGATACCTTCCTCTGGGCTGTCCTCAGTACAACAAAGCAAAGGCTGGATTCAGTCTCCATTTGTCACCTGGGCTGGTGACCGTGCTCAGTGCACACGTTGCACAGTTAATCAGGTGGCCCTGTTACACATCCTTGCTTATTCTTTCTCTGGGACAGACCTGGCTTCCTAGCTCCCATCAGCTCTGGAATGAAGTCAATATCGATGTCAAGCTAGGCTGACCAACTCATCAGGTTAGCCCAGAGCTTTCCAGACCAGATCTTAACACTGAAAGTCCCACATCCTGGAAACCCTTCAGTTCGGGTAAATGAGGACATTGGGTCCCCCTGTGCAGAGGGGTGTATGGTCCTGAGGAATGTGACAGGGTAGGGAGAACCAGAGAGTGCTGCAGCTTTCAAAAAGCAGAGACTGGATATTCTTAGCAAAACCAGGAAAGGAAATGGCTTTTCTGCAACCATGTGGCTGGGTCAGCTCTTCATTTACAGGAGACATGAGTCAGTTTGGGCACTTGGGAAGAGCTGAGAGCCTCTGAAAAAGCAATTAATGAGGGTAAGGGGGTTGGGGATAGAGTCAGCAAGATGATAAGGAAACAAGGGGAAATGTGAGTATTGATAATTCATAATAACACTATGAGTAAGAATTTTCTTTCTTTTTTGCCAAGGACGTAAGATTAAATTAGCAATAAAACTAGGTTAAATCACAGAAGGAACTGGGAATTATATTCAGTGACTAGGGTTCTTTAGGAAGAAAAGACAAATGAGCTACTACCTGATTCCTGGGATTTCAACCAGATTATAATAAATGAACAATGAGATTCTCTTTAAAAATTGGATTTTGTGGGCAAAGGAGATAAGAAATGTGCTGACAAGGGAGGGCTGTGAAACAAAAGAAAGGAGTGTAGCATGAGCACAGCTAAACCTTGGTTCTCGCTTTCTGACAGGTGACACCTCAGTCACTGGTGTTAAAAAAAGGAATGTCTTGAGTCTCCCACGCCTTTCAAAACTAGGGATGTCCTCAGCACCTGGTTAAAATATATTTTAGTTGCAATTCATTTCACTAGCCATTAGGCAAAAGGAACCATTGATATGTGTAGAATATAAAGTCTACCTTGCTTTTTCTTTTTCTTGATCAGGTAAAGTTTTCCATAAATGAAACCACAACTTTGGCCGATTTGTTAGCACTGCAATTACACAGAGTGGAAGATGATGTCCGACAGACTGTGGACAAGGCAGTGAAAGAGCTGGGGACCGAGAAGGTAGTATCCTTAGGGCTGACTTTTCTACTGAGCTAATTTTGGGCATTAGCAGAGAAACTGACTCAGGAAGTTTTTCTGATGCCCTGGGAGTGTATAGACATACGTCCCCAAAGTGTTTGCTGCTTATTAGGTGTGTGATGGGCAGGATATGGAATCATTCTAAACCATATAGGCCAGGAGAGGTGGCCCAAGGTAGTAATGATGGTGATGATAGCAGAATGCTTTGATGGCCCTTTGTAGCAAGCACCACACTAAGTGCTTTATTTTTATTAACTTATTTAATCCTCTGAGGTAAGTAATATTATCATCTTTATTTTACAGATGAGGGAGCAGAGATGCAGAGAGGTAATTAACTTACCCAGGCTCACACAGGGGACTGAGATTCACATTCAGTCTCTCATTGACTAATTTGCAAATAATATCTACCAAACATTTAGATAATTGTTTAACACCCTTCCTACTCTCAAATCCTGTTTTGGTGAAGGATGTAAAACTCAGACCCAATATAGAAGTTTGATATTAGTACGATGCCTGTTCCTTTGACGTGATAAAATTTATTCTCCAGACTTCGACACCGTGAATTATTTGGAGAAAAGTAATGAGGCCAATAATGTTTGATATTACTCTGCTTTTTAAGAAATTGTTTAAAATTTTTTCATTCTAAATAATGACCTAGATATCGATCCTAAATTAAGCTTTTGCGCACATAATTTATATTTTTGATTACTAGGTTATTACTGAAATCAGTCAGACCTGGGCCACCATGGAGTTTTCTTATGAAGTTCACTATCGAACAGGCATTCCATTATTGAAGTCTGATGAGCAACTTTTTGAAACTCTAGAGCACAACCAAGTAAGGCGAATATTTTTTTTACAGATTCAAAATTTTATCATTTTTAAATATTTTATTTTTAATTGACAAATAATAATTTTATAATTTATAGGCTATAGTGTGATGTTTTGATATATGTTTACAATGTGGAACAATTAACAGATCTCTCATCTCATATACTTATTTTTTATGGTGAAAACATTTAGAATCTATTCTGATAGCAATTTTAAGATATACAAGAAATTATTATTTATTATAGTCACCATTCTGTGCAATGGCTCACTAAAGCTTATTATTCATCCTGTCTAGCTGAAACTTTGTACCCTTTGATTAACATCTTCTTTTCCCTATCTGCCCCTTCCTCCCCTCTAGCCTCTGGTAACCATGATTTAACTCTCTACTTCTATGAGTTCAACTATTTTAGATTCTATATATAAGTGAGGTAATGTGGTATTTGTCATTCTGTGCTTGGCTTATTTCACTTAGCGTAGTGTCCTCCAGGTTCACACATGTTGTTGCAAATAACAGGATTCCCCCCTCACCCCCCCTTTTAAAATTGAATGGTATTTTGTTGTTGTATATATACCACATTTTCTTTATTCATTTATCTGTTGATGGACACTTAGGCTGATTCTATATCTTGGTTACTGTAAATAATGCTGTAATGAACATGAGAGTGCAGATATTTCTCCAGGATACTGATTTCAGTTCCTTTGAATATATACCCAGAGTGAGATTGCTAGATCATATGGTCATTCTTTTTTTAGTGCTCTGAGAAACCTCTATACTGTTTTCCTTAGTGACTGTTTTAATTTCCATTCCCACCCACAGTGCAAAAGAGTTCCCTTTTCTCCATATCCCCACCAGCACTTATCTTTCATCTTTTTGATAATGACCATTTTAACAGGCATGAGGTGATATCTCATTGTGGTTTAGATACACGTTTCCCTGATGATAAGTGAATGGGATTGATTTCTTAATTTCCTCTTCGGATAGTTTATTGTTAGTATGAAAGAATGCTACTGATTTTGTGTGTTGATTTTATACCCTACAACTTTACTGAATTCATTTATCAGTTCTAACAAATTTTCAGTGGCATTTTTAGGGTTTTCTGTATATGAGATCATGTCATCAGCAAATGGAGACAATTTTACTTTCTCCTTTCCTATTTGAGTGCCTTTTATTTATTTTTCTTGCCTACTTATTCTGGCTAGAACTTTTAGTACTATGTTGAATATAAGTGTTGTGAGTGGGCTTTCTTATCTTGCTTGTTCCTATTCTTAGAAGAAAAGCTTCCAAGTTTTCACTATTGAGTATGATGTTAGCTGTGTGCTTTACATATATAATCTTTATTGAGGTACATTCCTTTCCTGCCATATTTGTTGAGGATTTTTGTCATGAAATTATGCTGAATTTTGTCAAATTTTTTCCTGCATATATTTAGATGATCATATGATTTTTGTCCTTCATTCTGTTAATATGGTGTATCACATTTATTGATTTGAATTTCTTAAACTATCCTTGCGCCTCTGGGATAAATCACACTTGATCATGGTGAATGATTTTTTAAATGTGCTTTTGAATTCACTTTGCTAGTATTCAGTTGAGGATTTTTGCATCTGTCTTCGTCTGGGTTATTGGCTTCCTTTCTTTTCTTACAGTTTCCTTGTCTGGCTTTGGTATCAGGGTAATACTGGCTTCATAAAATGAGCGTGGAGGTATCGCTCCTCCTTCAAATTTTTGGAAGAGTTTGAGGAAGACTGGTATTAATTTTTCTTTATTTGTTTGGTGGAATTCTACCATAAATCCATCTGGTTCAGGGTTTCTCTTTGAGGAGAGATTTTTTAGTATTGATGCAATCTTTTGTTATTGGTTCCTTCGTATTTTTTATTTTTTCTTGATTCAGTCATGCTCAGTTGTATGTTTCTAGGATTTTACCATTTCTTCTAGGTTACTGAATATATTGATATATAATTGTTCAAAGTCATCTCTTACGATCGTTTATAATTCTGTGGTATCATTTTAAACATCTTCTATTTCCATGTCTGATTTTATTTATTTGAGTCATTTCCTTTTTTCTTAGTCTGGCTAAAAGTTTGTCAATTTTGCCTTTTCAGAGAAACAACTCTTAGCTTCACTGAATTTTTCTAATGTCTTTCTAGTCTCTCTTTCATTCATTTCTGCTCTAATCTTTATTTACTTCTTTCTGTTGATATTAGGCTTAGTCTGCTTTTCTAGTTTCTTGAGGGTAATGTTAAATTGTTTATTTGAAATTTTCTGTTTGATGTAGGCATTTATTGTTATAAATTTCCCTCTTAGAACTGATTTTGCTGCATTTGATAAATTTTAGTACATTGTGTTTCCATTTTCCTTTGTCTGGAGGTATTTTAAATTTCCCTTTTGATTTTTTCTTTGACCCATTGGTTGTTCAGGAACATGCATTTAATTTTCATATATTTATGATTTTTCAAAAATCTTCCTGTTATTAATTTGTAGTTCTATTTTATAATAGTTGGAAAGGCACTTGATGTTGTTTTGATTGTCTTAATATTTTTCCTGAGGTTATCTGGCAGCCTTTAAAAATTATTTTATTTTGACACATAAGAGCTGTACAAATGAGATACATGTGATATGTACATTCATACATTACATTCATACAATTTGTAAAGATCGAATAAGTGTATTTGGGGTACCCATTGCCTTAAATATTTGTCTTTATGCTAGAACCATTCACATTTTTTTCTACTATTTTGAAGTATACAATAGTTTATTGTAAATTATAGTTACTCTACTCATCTATCTATTGTCTTATTTCTTCTCTCAAACTATTTATTTGTACCCATTAATCAACTTCTCTTCATCCTTTCCTCCCCACTACCATTTCTGGCCTCTGGTAACCACCAAAATACTTTCTACCTTTATGAGATTCACTTTTTTAGCTGTGAGTGAGAACATGATGTAATTGTCTTTCTGTGTTTGGCTTGTTTTACTTGATATAACAACCTACAATTTTATCCATTTTACTGCAACTGACAGGATGTTATTTTTATTTTTTGGCCAAATAATATCCCATTGTATAAATGTACATTTTTAGAATTCATTTATGCATTGATGGGAACTTAGGATGATTCATGTTTTGGCTATTGTAAATAGTGCTGCAATAAACATAAGCATATGTAGATATATTTTTGCTATATTGATATCCTTTCTTTTCTTTCCTTTTCTTTTTCTTTCTTTTTTTTTTTTTTTTTTTTTTTTTGAGTCAGCGTCTCACTCTGCTGCCCAGGCTGGAGTGCGATGGCACACCCACAGCCACCACAGCCTTGATCTGTTGGGGTCAGGTGATCCTTCCACCTCAGCCTTCCAAGTAGCTGAAACTACAGGCATGCGCCATCATGCCCAGCTGATTTTTAAAATTTATTTATTGTAGAGATGATGTGTTGCCACGGTGCCCAGGTTGGTCTTGAACCCCTGAGCTCAGGTAATCCTCTTGCCAATGCCTCCCAAAGTACTGGGATTACAGGTATGAGCCACTGCACCTGGCATGATAACCTTTCTTTTGGATATACCCAGTAATGGAATTGTTGGATCAAATGATAGTTTTATTTTTCATTTTTTGAGGAACCTACATATTGTTCTAATTTACATTTCTAACAATAGTATAAGAGAGTTCCCCTTTCTCTGCATCTTCACCAGCTTCCATTATTTCCAGTCTTTTTAATAAAAGCTGTTTCAACTTGGATGAGGTGATATTGCATTGTAGTTTTGATGTACATTTTTCTGATAATTAGTGCTATTGAGCATTTTTTCATATACCTCTTGGTCATTTGTACTTTATTTTTTTGAGTTGGAATCTCACTCTGTCACCCAGACTCGAGTGCAGAGGCCGCTCCCGGCCACTGCAGCCTCGACCTGCTGGGCTCCGGCAATCCTTCTGCCTCAGTCTTCCAAGTAGCCAGAATTACAGGCATGCACTACCACGCCCGGCTGATTTTTTGATTTATTGTAGAGATGAGGTCTCGCTGCCCAGGCGGATCTCGAACCCGCGGGCTCAGGCAATCCACTCACCTCAGCCTCCCAAAGGTGTGGGATTACAGGCTGAAGCCACCGAGCCTGGCTTGTACTTTTTTTTTTTTTTAAAGAAATGTCTTTAAATTCAGCTTTAAATTCATTCTTTAAATTCAGCTTTAAATTCATTCTTTAAATTCAGCTTTAAATTCATCCTTTAGATTCAGCTATTTTACCCATTTAAAAATCTGATTATTTTGGGTTTTTTCCTGCTTTTTTGTTTTTGCTATTAGATTGTTTGAGCTCCTTACAGATTCCAGTGATTAATACCACATCAGATGAGTTGTTTGCAAATATTTTCTCCTATTCTTTGGATTATCTTTTCACTGTGTTGATTGTTTCCTTTGCTGTATGGAAGCATTTCAGCTTGATGTATCTCATTTGTCATTTTTGCTTTGGTTGCCTTGCTTTTGACGTCTTACACAAGAGATCTTTGCCCAGACCAATGTCCTAGAACATTTTCCTAATGTTTTATTCTAGTAGTTTCATAGTTTCAGGTCTTAGATTTAAGCCTTTGATCCATTTTTGTGTTTTGGTGAGAGATAGGAATCTAGTTTAATTATTCCGCAAATAGTTGTCCAGTTTTCCCAGCACCGTTTATTGAAGAGACTGTCTTTTTTGTTGTCTGTTTTTAGTTTTGGTATCAGGGTAATACTGGCTTCTTTTTTTCTTAGTTTAACTAAAAGTTTGTTAATTTTGTTTCACTTAAAAAAAAAAAACAGCCAGGCTCGGTGGCTTAACCAGTAATCCCACGCCTTTGGGAGGCTGAGGTGAGTGGATTGCCTGAGCCCACGGTTCGAGACCCGCCTGGGCAGTGAGACCTCATCTCTACAATAAATCAAAAAATCAGCCGGGCGTGGTAGTGCATGCCTGTAATTCCGACTACTTGGAAGGCTGAGGCGGAAGGATCGCCAGAGCCCAGCAGGTCGAGCCTGTGGTGGCCGGGAGTGGCC